AAATGAAAGATGTATGCTTGCACATGTGTGGGTTTTTACATTAATGAAATACATTAGGCAGTGGTACCAATCATTTTGGAAACTTATTAGAGCGCTCTCTACAAGTAATCTGGCTAATACAGTGGATAGTCTGATTGGTGAAAGAGCATGATTAAAAATAACAGCTCTCTAGGAGGTTATTTCAAGATCACCTTGTAGTGAATGTGTGAGCACTCAAACTATCTGAGAATGTTATAGATGCTAGAAATACTGAATGTTATCACTGAAAAAAATGGCTGCCAAATTTATTCAAAAAAGGTGAAAAAAAATTAAGTGTGTTAAACTAGCAAGGTAGCATGATTAAGATATGCAAAATTAATTAATTTTGTATGTATTTTCCTAGCACATGTATTTGGAATCAACAAAAGCAGAAGCTGGTGAAGTAAGTCTTTAAGATAATGCCTTGAACAAAATTTTGAGCTAATAAAATTCCACAGGTTACACAAAAAAAAATGCATTTTCTTCAGACTATCACTGTTAACATCATCTAAATGCAGGATCAGCTCTAAACTGCATATCATCCCAAATTCAAGGAGACGGAAATAATCCAGTAGCATGAGAATGCAGTTACTTTACTTCAGGTTTCCACTGAAGTGGAACACTGGTTTGTATGCCCGGCTGATAACCCATCTGCTCAGGGTGGGATAGCAGCAGCTCAGGACCTACACACTCTGGCAAAATTGTACCTTCTTGTTCTGTGCCCGACAGTCAATGTTGTTAAGCATAAAACTCGGGGTTTAAATAGTAATGCATTAAGTAGATGTTTTCCCAAAATCAGAACATAAATTTTCCAGAGATCTTTGTTAGCAGGATGAATAATGTTCATACTTCCAAGTCATGATAGATTAGGATTTGTTTGAAAACACAATGTAGATCATGATTTATGTTGAGATATTAAAAATCTTTGGCAGCAAAGATATTTATGGTGGTATTTCAGGCCATGGTGGTCATATCGTCAAAGTAACTTAGTTTAGTAATTGTCTTTTTTCTTGGCAAAACAAAACCAGAACTTTTTTTTTTATACCTAAATAAGGTGTATATACCTAATATACCTAAACAAACATGAAGTCATCCTGCATCATTTTCACTACCATAGTTTGAGCGCAGTGGAGGCTGAGACTTTGTATTAAAACAGTTTGCATTAGAATTTTTTGGGCAGTTTCCAACTGGAGAAGTATCATTTGTGTAGCGTTAGTTTAGCCTTTCATTTTGAAGTCCTTAATTCTCTCTCTTGTTAAAGCACAGGCACGTGTAACTGCAGTAATTGAGAAGACCCTGATGCTAGAAGTTGCTGCCTTACCCCTGGGCTGTGTAATGGGTGGTGTTTAGGCAGTTCAGCAAAGGATCAGATGGGTTGGCTTTTTGTTTCCACAGTTGTGTCTGTATTGACAAGTGAAATAAAATCTGATAAACGTGCTTTTAAATAGACTTATCCAAGAATTGATGTCTTGTTGCCAAAGCAACTGAGTATTAAAATTCAAATGTATTTTAGTGTTTTGATTGCTTTATTTTTTTTGCTTTGGAAAATAAGGCAGTAATACAACGTAAGAACAGGCTGTGACATACTATCCAAACTAGTCAGTCAGTAAACTTTATTAATTCATATGAAAGTATAAATAAGTTGTCTATAATAAGATTTAGATAATTTTGCCTAATTTTGCTAATAAGTCTGCACTATACCAGAATGTCAATTTTTTGATGCTGATTATCAAGCAGCAGCTTAATAATTTATCATTATTAGTGCATAAACTGCAAAATCACATTTTGCCTTTGTGCATCTCAAGAATTTTAATACAATAATAGCTCAGTTATTGTGGAAAAAGTCACTAAATGCAGCCTCTCCAGTTGATCACAACAGGGGTCTGGAGCGTAAAGCATTGGGAGAATCTCCTGTGGTAGTTGAGCGAGACCTGATGTTGTTGTGAGGATGAGTTGTCTGCAGGAGGGCTAGAGATGGTTCAGGAGAGGGGAGAGAAGCAGGTGACAGCAGGACAGGCAGGGTACAGCCGAAGGGATACATCGCCAGGTTCTTTTCCAGCTCCTCTTGTCCCATTGTTCTGAAATATTCATCCTTTCAGTGATTCAAACAGGTTTTTCTCATATTAAAAGTTTTGAGTTCTTTGAAAGGAACAAGAGCCAGATTTACTTCTCTTGATTTCTTTTTTTTTTTTAAATTGCAGTTCAGAAATTTTTTTAAGTCTTAAAAGTCTCTTGTTTCTAAATCCCATTATTTAATGGTTGTGATTAATTCTTAGTCTTCAAAACTTAGTCCTTAGTACTAGGACTTACTTAGTCTTTAGTCCTTTTCTAGCCAGAAAAGTGGTGTCAAGAGAATGTGTATTAGATACAGTTCTATAAATCATAATAAAGAGATGTCAGTCAAGGAGAAGAACACAAACTTCAGCACCTGCTTCACCCACTCCAGGGATAACCTCTAGGAGAGCTGAGCTTTGTCCAAGGTCTTTCATTGGTGCTTTGTGCAGCATGACTCTATTCTCGTTGGTAAAATGTGCTTAACCTTGTTGAGAGCTTTCTGATTTAAAAAAACGCAAAAAATCATCTGCCAAGTGTTTCGGTTTTTAAAGATAAAGCCTGTTCCTACCAGCTCAGAAACTAAGAAGTTGCAGTGACTTAGCTAAAGCTTTCCCTCGTAGCAGCTTTCCAAAAACTATACAGTGCAAGGAACCCACTGAAGCTCATCAGGTTTGCTGAAGCCTTCAACTTTTTCTCAGCTTTCACTTTGAAATCAGAGAAGTAATGGAAGTATTAAACTTCTGTGATTTTCCTGGCAAGAGGGAAGTTTCCTGTCAATTACAATAAGGTGCAAGGTAGCTACTGCCAAAATGAATGACTTCAAAATCACAGATAAGTTACAGAAAAAGCCTAGAGCTGAATTTTCAGGCTTAGAAATGAAGAAATATGACTATCAGGTGCCATGGCTCTTGTTAAATAAGCATCTTATCAATGAGAGTCTTACCTGTTCAAAAAAAGATATAAGTAGGCAATTTTAATAGCGAATTTCATCTAGGCATTTGATGTCTTAAAATGCAGCATGAGATGGAATGAACAGGGAACACATTAGTTGAATTAAAAATTCTTTTGCTGAGAGATCTCAAAGTATGTCACCCTTTAAACGTGTCAACGAGTGGTGGTTGTATGTAGTTTCCCAAGGAATAGTTGTTTATGTAAAGATATGTGGTACCTTTTTTTAATAGTCTAGACGATGATACAGAGGTTTTGCAGGTGAAATCTAAAATCCTGGAGACTGACCATCAGAGTGCTGGAATCATCCAAATGCAGGGGGATGCTGCTGAGTTCCAGGCGAGATGCAGGAGTGTACATACATTTATATGTAACCACCAGGAGCTTATAATGAATCTAGAAAAGTTTTAAGGTTCCTATATATGTATGTGTGTGCATACATATATATGTACATATATATATATATATATATAAAGCTCAGTACAAAATTGGATTGGCTTTATGTAGAAACTCAGGCACAGAAAAGAGAGATATTAGGAATTCTTTAATTTTGCATCCAAAGCCATAAGAATAATTGGAAACTGGATGCTGAATCAGAACAATTCTGTCTTGAACGTGCTGCAGCGTAGGCCATTAAACATCCAAAACCAGCTGTGACATACTGGAATCACAGGACCGCTTTCCAGGATCACCTTGGCATTGCCTGGACTTTTCCTGCTGCAACAAGGAGCAAGGACATAGAATCACAGAATCATAGAATGTCCTGAGTTGGAAGGGACCCACAAGGATCATCGAGTCCAAATCCTGTCCCTCCATAGGACAACCCCAAAATTCACACCCTGTGTCTGAGGGCATTGTCCAAATGCTTCTTGAATATTGTCAGGCTTGGTGCCGTGACTGCCTCCCGGGGAAGCCTGTTCCAGTGCTCCACCACCCTCTGGGTGAAGAACCTTTT